TGATTTGGTTAGTTAGGGCTCAGCAAATTGATAATGCAGCGGGATTTCATAGGTCACTGGAGGACTACTAAAGATACACTTCAACTGGGACATGTAAGTGTTCAAACAACATGTGACTTTGCGGATTGTTCTGGTAATGGTGTTTTGGTGACCTCTTCCTCAAATTCATCAACTGAGTATGCTTCATTGGCAGACACTTTCCAATGCACTTCCCCATGCTATACTTCAAATTCCATGGATCCCTCCAGAGTTGGCATTATTTGGTCCCATTATGTACGATCCAAATGTCAACATAGGAAGCTCCAGCTCACTCCTATCTGCACTCCAAAGGCTCCCCAATAAAGGAGGTTTGCCGTAAAAAAAGAATTTCTCCACAAGGGCTCTACTGGCATTTTAGGCCAGACCATTCTTTGTTGCATGGACTGTCCTGTGCATCAAAGGAAGTTTAGCCACAACCTGGCTTTTACCCACAAGATACCAGTAATACTCCACTTCCCAAGTAAAGATAATAAAAAATGTCTCCAGACGTTGCCAAATGTCCCATGGGGGTCAAAAGTGACCACACTCCCCCCAGTTATGAACCACCATCTTAAAGACTAAAGGCCAGTCCTCAATTAGAAGACTAGGGGACATTTTCTCCCTGCTGGTCCCTCTGATGTTAATCAGTGTGGAAATGACCAATGACTACTCTGGGAAATTGCCCATTTCTCTCCTCCTAATTCTTTTGATTAGACCAGCAGAGCGATTTCTTCATTCCAACAGAGTCTTATGGAACAGACAGTTTATGTCAAGATAAAAGCACACTCATGGTATAGATTTCAGAGCTTGTCACTCAGGATATATGTATGTTTTTGACAACAGATTTCTGAAGGGTTTGCATTTCTACCACATACAATCTAGGCAAGCCCAACTGTACTCGTTCCTTGAATCCCTTGATTAACTGAAGTCATCAATAATGCCTTACCAAAAACCAAGGTGTCAAACATCTTCATAAAATACTTCTTGTGCTGATAATAATGAAAAAAATTCTTTATAGGTGGCACATTGAAAGTGACTCAAGGTCCCTATTCTGATTATGAATTTTCATTGTAATTAAGTGGCATAAGAAGTTAAGCTGGCTATGACTACCTTGAAATGTCTGCCTTCCTATGTGTGGGTATGCATGTTTTAAAATGAAATTCTCAATATGGGCTTTTAAACGTGATTTTCATCTTATTCCTCTAAGTGTAATATGGCATATTTTATGTTTCAGATACGTGTAGCGTATCAAGGTAGGAGAGAGTTTGTTACTCAGGCTTATTCCCCATCCATGTGGGCAAATAACACTGCTACCCATGAAAGAAGGAGAGTAGTGTGCTGCTCTGCAACAAAACAGTGCACGTTCTGTATGACGCAGACCACAAGGTATTCAGAGAACGGGACTCTGGGAAGGTTGGGTCCTTAGGAAAGGTTTCACAAAGGATGTCAACCTGAACCAACATACATGACCACATGGTGCTGCTTTCCCCTGCAGAAAACCCAGACTTGGAGGTTGAGAAGTGGCAGAGCAGCTAGACAGAATTCAACTCATTTATGATTGTGACCAAGAGGGTATTTATAAATAGCCAAAATGACAGAATAGATAAGAAAGGAATCCAGGGACTAAAATATTGACATAAGTCAGAAATAACCTAAGTTTGAGTTATTTATTTCGATGTTACCATTGCTGTAAGGTAAGAAAGAAGTGCTAAATGAACAAGGAGCATCTTCTATTCCTTTGGTAGGTCACATGTCTTATTTATTCGGTTTGGTGGTAGGAACTAGTTTCACTCTGTATTAATAGAACATCAACCAAGTAACTACCATCTAATGCACCAGGCATGGGACTGTGGCACCTATCATTATTTCAGGAGCCAGAGACACACAGGCAAACTGAACAGACAAGGCCTCTGTTCTCAGAGACCTTCCTGTTCTACTCGGGGAAGACTGACAATTAACTGGTAAACAATCAGAAAGTGATTGTGTCCACTGGAGAAAACTAAGCAGTGTAATGCGACAGAACACGGGTCTGCAAACTCCAGCCTGCAGACAAAGCTACCCACTGCCTGTTTTTATATGGCCTATAGCTAAGAATGGCTTTTACATTTGAACCCCAACAAGTGGAATGTGTCTTCTCATTCATAGACCTCATTATGAAAAATTATGCTTAATCGTCCTAGTTCGAGTTTTTAAAATTGTACTATTTGTTTTCTCTGTTGTCATTTAAGTACTTACATGATATCATCAATTTTGCCTCTTGGTCTACTGTGTGTTCCTTTACATAAAAATGTTGCCAACTGCTGCGTTAGAGACCCACAACCCTGATAGAAAAGGACCCAGGGCTAGAGCTATGAAGGAAGACCTTTCTGAACAGGTGACATCAAGGTTGAGACGTGAATGGCTACAGGGCATCCTGGGTTCTTGCCTACTGCTGCCAGGGCTGTGTAACCTTTGGGTCCCTCTTTCCTTATTTGTAAAATATCTTGGTTGAACTATTTCATCTGCCTTCCCTAAACCATTATAGTTCCATTTTTCTGTTGACTGAACATGGCGCATCCTTCATCATGATTCATCTTTCATCACTCATCTATGCCCACTTCATGAGTATAAAGAAGAAACAGATCAGCAGAAGAGACGTTTCCAATTCTCCACTTTTGCACGCATCATATGGGTTGCCAAGATTCACGGAAGTCCCATAAATGAGAGTTCTACAATTAACCTCAAATACCTTGACGAAGTATGTGAAAGTTTGTCAGAGCACAAGGTCAGATGCCTCACAATTTTCCAAACATTACTAAAAAAACAGCCCACGCTCACTCTGAATTATTGTGGTCTTTCAAAGTCTATACAAAGTAATATGCAAGGAGACAAAGCTATTTTACTAGGCAGACAGATATTCCAAATTACTGGTTCTTAACAAGCATGGTAATACATCAGTCAAAAGCAATAAATTTAAACTTAATGAAATCTCAATTTGCCTACAGTGCATTTCACTTTGACATTTTCTATATTGCCACGGTGCTTTGATAAAGTTTTTTAAAATGCAAAGGAAGTGTCTGTAAGGCTAAAGACCAGACTTGGTACCATTGTGGCCCAGGCAACATTACAGTACTTAAGTTTCATCACTCTATGCCCCGTGGCAGGCAGAGCCCCGACGCTAACACAGGTTCAGTTTTCATTATCATCATATGATTATGCGTTTTACTGCATTTAACTGATAATACAACTACCAGCTCACCTTAAAAGAATTAGCTTGGAGGTTTCATTGCTTTCCAAATGGAATTCATTTGACAAACAAATGACAATTAGCCTAGTCTCCCTGTTCTGCGTCAGGATGCTTTTTGATTGAACCTAGACCAATTTACAATTTTTAAATGAGTTTAGACATTTACATTTAAAATATCTGGAGGAAATTAGCCCTGGGACATCCAACAGCCAAAATGCTTTTTGAAGTTGATTATTATTTGATCTAGTACCCTCTACCTGTACATTTTGTTCTGACTTCAAAGTTTGGGAATGTAAATGCCACCTCACCTCAAAGCACAGGGAGAAACTTAAAAGTGGTTTTGCTCATTATGTTATGCAAAGGAGCCCATATTTTAATATTCGTTTAATATGGTTAGTTAGCTTTAATGACACCAGTGTGACAGTGTCATAGTTTTGGAATCTGAAAGCGCTGATTGAAGTTTCCGGCTGCTGCCTCTATTTTTCTGCACAGAAAGGAATTGTGCCCTTTGAAGGACAGATTAGCTCCTGGCTGCGTCCATTCTGGTGAGGGCTAAGCGTGATAACTTTCAGATGAAGAGTTCAGCTGCCTGGGTGAAGAAAGCACAAATCATGATATCAGGAGCTACAGAGACACTTGACTGTCAGATTCCAATTCTGTGTGTTTTCTAAGTGCAAGCCCTTTGCCCACCGCTGCTGAGGAAGTTGCTGGGGAAGCTACTGGTAATTCCATTATAAACATGCAGTGCTGATAACCCAGCCACAGAAACTGGTATTGCCCTGAAATTAAGCCCACTGATTTCTAGCCGAGAACATATTTTATTTATTTATTATTATTATTGCTACTTTATTGTCAAAATGAGAAAGCAGCCTTTCACTCATTCCATGTTGTACAACTGCAAAAATTAAATATTGTGAGGCGAAAGCTTGCAAAATGTGCTATTGCATCATCTCCCTGTTCTGAAGGCCTGGTAATCAGTGTTATGCACAATATATTCAAAGGAATGCTCTAGAAGAAAGGGCAAGTGACGCAGCGCTGAGGAGCCGGCCAGTCCCTATCTGCATGCAGTTATCATGGCTTTCACAGGTCATCCTTGAGAGCTCACTAGAATATTTTGAATTTCTAGTTTTGTCTCACAGTATAGGACACACACCACATGTTTTCAAAATAACTTTGAGTTCAAAAGAGTTCCCTAATGATAACACTGTATAACCCCAGCGCTGAATTAATGGTTTTGAAGACTGTTTTCTGTGAAGGTAGCAGAGGCTGACTTCAGTCATCCTGGCCCTCCTGGGTGCTCACAACAGTGTCATGAGGCAAAAATGCCTGGACAGAGGTCACAGATGTAAGAATGGCAGTGGGGGGCGCCGTGTTTGGTCTCCTTGGGACAATTGGTCTGAATCCCCTGATCTCACCACCATGTATTGTGAAAATAGTGATAAAATAAAACAACAACAACAAAAAAAATTCTTTTTCATCCATTTTATTGCTGAACAGATTAGACATCCACCAGGTCGCTTCACATCTAAACTTTGTAATTTCACGTGAGCGTACTTTCACCCTGCCGCACTCCCACCCTCATTTTCCTTAATGAAATTGGAATTGAGGTCCCCGCCAAAGTGTCCTTGGAGTCAACTCTGTTTTGATTCTAAACGTAACCCACAAGCACCACATTTTCTCACGCAAACACTGTCCCAAGTAGAGACACGCCAAAGTCTTTCTATCATGGGCTTTTCATTGTCTATTTTTCTTCCAGCAGAAACAGGACTCTTTCTTCCTGTGCGAACAGCCTGGCGGCAACCATCTTGCACAACATTCTCAGCCCCTGGCTTTGAAGTCTTGCGAGTTGCCTAAGAGCGCAGGCTGCACAGCTGGAAACCTGGAGGTTTCTGCTACCTCGACCGCCCTCTGCTGGGTGGACCGACGGCTGTGTAGGAGGTGGTCCACAAACAGCCGGAAGGCTTCCCCTTAAGGTACGGGTGGATTTTTCACTAAGACACGGGAAAGACTTTTGGGGTTTTACAAAATAAATTTTTCTTTTCTTTCAGAGATTTTTAGAAATACACTTTCTTCTCTGCATATATACAGGCATACCAGTTTATTCTGCCTACGTGTTTGGGAAAAAAAAAAAAAAATTTGTCAGAGTGAAAACCATGAATGATTCTAACATCTCTCTCTGACAATCAAATGCTATATATGCCCTTGCCCTGGCACTAATGGCCTGGCAACAAGGAAATAACGCTAAGTCAGAATAATTCTCCTAATATTCTCACAACATGAAGAAGCAGAATACGATGAGGGTTAAGACCGTGAAAACAGACTGCCTAGGTATAAATACTTCTCTGACTGTTATTAACTATGTGACCTTATACAAGTTAAATAACCTCTCCAAGCCTGAGTTTCCTCTTCTGTAATACGAGGTTATAATACTATTTGTCTCCTGTGGTTGTTATAGTTTATATATACACATACATACATACACACACAAGTTATATATATATATATAACTGTATATATAATTAACATATATATATATAACTGTGTATGTATAGATTAACTATAACTGTATGTTAACTATATATGTGTGTTATAAATATTTATACATATATATTGTGTTATAAATATGTATAACACATATATAGTTAATATATATTATAGGGGTTGTTATGGTTAACCCTATATATATGTTATACATATGCTATATATAATATTGTTTGTCTCCTGAGGTTGTTATAGTTAACCCATGTAAGACAAATAGTATTATACTCTTTATATTATGATTCTTGAAAAAAGGGGCTTGCTTTGCAGGAATTATTGATATCTTCTTTGTAGGACCTCATAAAAGAAGGCTAATAGTTGAAACCGTTTTTATGTATTAGACACACATTAAGATGGAGACTATTCATTCACTTGCTCAGCAAATATTTAATGTGCCTCCACCCTGTGCCTACAGATCAGAGGCTGAGTAGAGAAGATGCAGATATAAGTAAGACAGACATGGTTTCTACAATGTGGAGCTTGCAGGCTGATGGGGAAAACAGACAGTAAACAAGCAATTAAAGGGGAAGAATGATCTAAAATGACCATCATATGATCATCTAAAATGACTCATCTGGAGTTCCCACTTTATAATTTTACGAAAGATTCCTTTGTATGAAGAGATCTCTGTGGTGGAAAATGTCATAATCTAAGAGAATGATAGAAGAGCTATAAAGTTCTCATTATCCAGGGTCGGGGAGACTTTGTATTTAGGAAAATCCACAAATAGAAAGGACATATTTGCCCACAAAAAATAACATAGGAGTTGCAGCGCCAATTCATTAATACACAGAGCAAAACATTACATCCTTATGCTCAAAGTTTCATCTGTATGAAATAGAAATGCGTTTTCTATTTCGTACAGCGGTGCTCGATAATACTCCACACAACGACGGTGCAGAATATTCTTGAAGGATTCTCAGAATTAAAGTGGATTGGTAGGCTTGCATGTGCAGGTACTAACTCTAACACTCTTAAGTGTTGCTGAAGAGCAGCTGGGGATATTGCAGATCTGTCAGAAGATATTTTTTCTCTGCTAAGAAGTGGAGCATCTGTAGGTATAACATACAGATATACACAGTGTATACTGTATATAATGAATTTCCTTGCTTATCCAATTTCCCAAATAGGTGAAGTGATATAAGAGGAAAATAACTGCATCAGTTCATCAGGCCAAGGTCAATCATATCTTTATGAAACTTCAAGTTAAATTATTATTAGAATCTACTCTATACTGGATTGCATCTTTCTTTAATGAATTTCCATGGGAGAAAACAACCTGAGGTTAACATTCACGGATCACAGAACAAGCTCATGATGATGGCCTGTTCATCATCACTGTGTGTGAAGCTATTTTTAGTAACCTGCTTTCTACTCCTTTTTATTGTAAATTGACAGCTTAAAATTGTATAAATTTATGGGTTACAAAATGGTGCTATGGTTTGTGAATACAATGTAGAATTAAATCAAGCTACTTCACATACCCATCACCTCAAATACCTAACACTTTTTGTGGTGAGAACATTTGAAATATACTCTTTTAAAAATTTTTAAATGGACAATACTCTATTATTAACTATATTCACCAAACTGTTCAATAGAACTTAAAAAAAAAACTATATTCCTCCTGTCTGAGATTTTGTAGGCTTCAACAATTATCTTCCCATTCTTCTCCCTCCCCAGCCTCTGTAACCACCATTCTACTCTCTTCTTCTATGAATTCAATTGTTTTCCATTTTACCTATAAGTGAGAACATGAAGCATTTGTCTTTCAGTGCCTGGCTTATTTCAGTTAATATAAGGCTCTCCAATTGCTGTTGCAAATGACAGAATCCCCTTCTTTTTAAAAAAAAATATTTTATTGCATTTTAGGTTTTGGGGTACATGTGAAGAACATGCAAGATTGTTGCATAGGTACATACATGGCAGTGTGGTTTGCTGCCTTCCT